AGAATTCATTGTCTTAAAAATGAGGGCCTAACTATAAGGAACAACTTTGTAGAAGAGACTTTTAGTCTAAAGTTTCAATTTCAGGCTCAAAACATATCATTCCACCTAAATCTGCATTCTGGACCACTGTGCATTCCCCAGAAAAGATGATGAAATTAGTCATTTTCACTTTTCTTTTTTTATTATTGATAATGTTTACTTTGTGTTTACTATGTTTAATTTTATGGAACTATGTATTTATCAATTCCAAACAATTTTTTAGCTCTTTATAAATTGACAAGCTTCAAGTTTTCGAGCACTTCGTTCATCATTTAATAAGTGAAAGGGTCTATTATGCAATCCAATTCAACCAGTCAGAAACTGTTAAACCTTATCGAAGAATTGTTCGACCTGAGTTGAAGAATTTCTCGTGATGGATTTAAAAATCGGTGCATGGAACGTGGTGGTACCGATTACAAATTTATAACATTATTCCACTCGTTATTATTCCAAATGGTCATTACCCCGAATCCCTTGCGAAAAGCTATTGATTATATATTTTCCTTATATATTAAAAGAAGGGAATATTCCCTTCTTTATGATAAATCCAAAGAATTAATTATCTTCTCTTTTATATATTCAAAGAATGAATGAAGAAGACATCAATATATTCCGTAATGAAATACACATATTCTACATATGGTGCAAAAAAAATCTACTAGAATTGAATGTAAAAAAATGTAACTTAATATCATTTAGTAGAAAAAGAACAACTTCAAACATTTCAATTGCATTAGGAAATCAAACTGTAGATAAATGTGAAAGAGTTAGGGATTTAGGAATTATCTTAGACTCTAAGCTAACTTTCATAGACCATTACAATACAATTATTCACAGGGCAAATAACATGCTAGGCTTTATCAAGAGCTTTTGCTATAACTTTCAGGACCCTTACACAATTAAAACACTATATATTGCCTATGTGAGGTCAATACTGGAATATTGCAGCATTGTATGGTCTCCATTTTTAATCACGCACGAAGAAAGATTAGAATAAGTACAAAAACAATTTCTATTATACGCTCTTCGTAAATTAGGTTGGACTTCATTTCCTCTTCCATCATATGAAGCACGCTGCATGCTTATAAACATACAAACATTAAAAGAGCGTCGTGAATATGCAATGGTTTCATTTATAAATGATATCGTTTCGCAGCGAATTGACTCAACAGAACTTTTATCAAAATTAAATTTCCATGCACCCACTCGGCAACTCCGAAATCGAAATTTATTTGCCATAAAACATCATCGCACAAATTATGCAAAATATGGGCCATTAAACCGCATGATGGCCTCTTACAATAAACACTGCGAAACCATTGACTTTACAATGTCTCGGCATAAACTAAAGCAATATTTTTATTCCATAAAAAATAACAACTCATAAAAGAAAAGACAAGAAAGCTGACACTACTTTTTTTATATAAATATATATTTAAGAAAACAAAACTGTATTAGTTGTACTAGTCTACGTTGGTTGACGAAATAAATAAATAAATAAATAAATAAATAAATAAATAAAGAAGGGTATATTCCCTTCTTTATCGTTTATCCAAAGAATTAATTATGTCCTTTTCTTATATTTTCAAAGAAGGGAATATTATTTACAATTGTTTTTGTTTTTCTGGTGAAAATCAGTTTAATTTTATAAGTGTTCTTCCATGATTTATCAATTTATGTTTATTTATCACATTGCTATTGAAAATACGGCGTTTATATCTTTTCTTGATATTTCATGTGATAAATTATGAAAAATGGTGAAAAATTACGAAAAAAAAGGTTAATCCACCCCCAAACGGATACTATGATTTAAGTGTGTTTTACAGAGTTTTAGTGTGTATTCTGCAACTTTATCGAATGTAAATATTGTGCCTATCTGTCATTTAGTGCTCTTGAAGTTTTCGTGCTCAAAATTTCAGTTTTGTGTTCAAAATTGGAAGTTATTTGTTTCAAAATGCCCAAAAAAGACCAAATTTCGATCAGTATCCCAAATTTGATTATTGAACATCACAAAACTGGCAAAAGCTACCGTGATATTACTGATATTGTCCAGCTTCACAAAGATACGGTCGCTAGAATTGTACAGATGTCACAGATCTCGCCAGCTATGCGATCGGGGCGTCCTTCAAAGACAATTGACCGAATTGACAGAGCTATCGTGAAGAAGGCGGAGCTGGACCGGGGACTATCAGCTCCGAAAATTGCGAAACAGATTGAAAGCGAGTTTTCCATTCAACTGATATCACAATCCGTACGAAATCGTCTTCATAAGAAAATTCTTAAGGGCAAAGTAGCTCTTAAGAAGCCATGGTTGTCCGCAAAAAAATTTAAAAAAAGATTGAAGTGGGCCCAGGACTCAAGAAAAGATATAAACGCCGTATTTTCAATGGCAATGTGATAAATAAACATAAATTGATAAATCATGGAGGAACACTCATAAAATTAAACTGATTTTCACCAGAAAAACAAAAAAATTGTAAATTGGTAGGGGGTGGATGAACTTTTTGTGCATACTGTATTTAACGAATTAATCATGTTCTCTTTCATATATTAAAAGAAGGGAATATTCCCATCTTTATCGATTATCCAAAGAATTAATTATTTCCTTTTCTTATATTTTCGAAGAAGGGAATATTCCCTTCTTTATCATACATCCAAAGAATTAAGTATTTTCTCTTCTATATATTCAAAGAAGGGAATATTCCCTTCTTTATCGTTGTCTCTTCTATTTGGTAAAGTGGACTGTAAATTTCTTCGAGAAAGCTACTTTTTTCGGACCTTAAAAGAAACGCGTCCGATTCACTGTAACGTCAAAAACAACTCTCGAAATAAAAGCAAAATAAGAAAAAATACATGTGTTTGTATGTGTGTTACCACGACGAGTACAAGAGCGCCTAACGGAATGCTTTTATGCTTCAACCATTTCGATCTATTCTGCAGTTCTGGCAAACATTCTGCTGTCCATCGCTTCCAGAAGTGCTGCAACATGGTTTGGACAAGCTGCCAGCGGGATAGTGTAGATTCACGGAGATTCAGATACGACGGCTCAGCGACGGCTTGCATTTCTCGCCCAATCAGGAAATGGGCCGGTGTGATTGCGGTAAAGTCGCTCGGATCATCTGAGCACGGTGCAAGTGGCCGCGAATTCAGGACAGCTTCAACCTGAGTCAGAGTGGTATAAAGCTCCTCGTAGGACAACTTTCGATCTCCAACAATTCGTGTGAGGTGGAACTTTACTTGTTTCACCCCCGCCTCCCAAATCCCACCGAAGTGGGGGCTTCGTGGTGGTATGAATGACCATTAAAACCCTCGCCTGGTGCAGAATTCAGCGATTTTCCGAGCCTCCTGCTGGTTCTTAAACATCTCTGCAAGTCTCTGGAGCTCGTTTTGTGCACCCTGGAAATTTGTCGCGTTATCCGAATACATTTTGCAAGGAACTCCCCGCCGGCTGGTGGACCGCCGAAGTGCGGCGAGGAAGGCTTCTGTCGTCAAATCAGAGACGAGTTCGATGTGTATAGCACGAGTAAGCTTACACACAAACAAGCAAATGTAAGACTTAGAGATCAACGGCTTCCGTCCCACAGACGTAGATTTGAGTAGAAACGGTCCAGCAAAGTCAACACCAGTGTTCGCAAAGGCTGGTGCAGATCGTACGCGATAAGAAGGTAGGTCACCCATCAGTTGTACTGTCTTCATAGGACTGGCCTTAAAGCACGTAGTGCAGTTTCGAATTATCTTCCGAATCGTAGCCTTGACATTCAGCGGCCAGAACTGTTGTCGGATGATCGCTAGAAGATCCTTTTGTCCAATGTGGAGGTTAATTCGATTTCTCGCGAGTGCTTCCGTAACCTGATGCTTCGCCGGAAGTAACATTTGATAACGACTGTCATACGGAATGAAAGCGTGCTTAATTCGTCCTCCCACTCTCAGAATTCCTTCGACTGGATCTAGGAACGCCTTGAGACCGCATAGACGATGCTTAAACTTGCTATCCTCCTTCAAAGCTCGAATCTCCGGTTGAAAAGTTTCTTGCTGGACCAATCGCACAACCAATTTAACAGCGTGTGCCCTTTCTGATGAATTCAGTGGCCCCTTTACTATTATCTTTCGTTTCGAAATGATGTAGTTAGCAAACCTAACAACGTAGGCCATGGATTGTAGCATTTTTTCAAAACTACTCAATCTTTCAAAAATCTTGATTCGTTTCTGTGTTGCGGCTGTGACAACTAGACTAACTCCGGAGCACAATTCTGGTAACTCTTTGTCCGGAAGTTCTGGTTCCTCTGCAGCTTCAACGGATATTGTTCTCAGCATCGGTGGTCCCTTCCACCAAATCTCATTCTTGTTCATTTCTCGGGGACGCTGCCCGCGAGATATGAAATCGGCAGGATTCTCGTTTGTTGAAATGTAACGCCACTGGAAGCTTCTGTATCTCCGAAACCCTATTGGAGACGCAGATCTGTAGACTTTGCAGCGGTTTCTTAATCCAGCAATACACAATCTTCGAATCAGTCCAGAGGTTCACAGATTCAATGTGTAGGTCGATGGCATGCAAAACCTTATCGGTCAGCCTTGACAACAGTACAGCTGCAAGAAGTTCACCGCGAGGCGTCGTGATGGTCTTAGTTTTTTCCGAACTTTCGAGGTAGAATTCGTGATTTGCTGGATATCAAGTACATCGTAGCCACTGCGTGGGGATGAATCACACGTGTGTACACACAAGCCCCGTAGGCTTGATCTGACGCATCGGAAAAGCCATGCAATTCCACTTTCAACGCATCGTCTGATGAAATCCATCTAGGAACTTGCAACTCGTTCAGCTGCACAAGCTCGTTCCGGAAAGAACGCCAAATTTGGAGCAAATCCTGTGGGACCGGGTTATCCCAATCTGTCTGCAGCATTGAAACCTCTCGCAGTATCAGCTTGGCCGTCGTAATTACGGGTCCAATCAGTCCGACCGGTTAAAATATTTTTGCCACCTCGCTCAGAATCTTTCTTCTAGTAGAAGCTCCCGGATCGCCTTCAGTAACGCAATACGAAAACCAATCCTTTCTTGGGTTCCACACTACGCCCAAAGTCTTTACAACAGCGTTCGAGTTGTCTCCGATAACTTCGAAAGTGACTCCTCGAAGCTCTTCAGGAATGCAATTCATAATTTCTTCGGCATTCGAACACCATTTGTGCACTCCAAAACAGCCTTTAGCTAGAATATAATTAACATCCTGCTGTAGCTTGCAAACTTCCGGTACTGAATCCGCTCCCGCCAAAATATCAGCGCCCTTCTTGATCGCACGCGCTGCTTCGGGGAAATCTTTTTGATAGTCTTCCGCAATCTGGTTCAACACCATCGTAGCTTGGAACGGAGACGATGTCAACCCGTAAGTCACAGTCTGAAGCTCCCTTACAGTCAATAATTCATCACGCTGCTTTCTATACAGAAACAGCTGATACTTCCTATCGGCACGCAGAACGCCGATTTGCCGAAACATCATCGGGACGTCGACCGTGAAAACATATCGGAATCCACGGAAATTCACCAAAATGGATACCAAATCACGTTGAACTACTGGTCCTATTTCTAGCGCATCGTCAAATACAACTCTCAACTTTGTTGTCGTACTCGTCGGTTTCAATATGCAATGATGCGGCAAGTAGAACACAGACCCCGGTTTCTCAGTTTTGTCAATCTCAACCACTCGCAGGTGGCCAAGCCGTTCGTATTCATCGATAAAATCACAATACTGTTGTTTCAGCTCTGGTTGCTTATCGAGCCGCCGTTCAAGGTTCAGGAACCTTCGAGTTGCCATCTCCCGGGAATCACCCAATTCGTTTTTCTTGTCATTGAATGGGTGTCGAACGAAGTATCTTCCATCCTTGTTTCGCACATGCTCCAAGCAGTCCTGGCCGGATTTCGCAAGCTTCCAAGCGGTAGAAGTTTTTCAATATGTCTTCGAGTCGCTCATCTCCAGCGATCAGGCAGAGTGAACGAGCAATAACTGGACTTTGCTTGGCAAGAACTCCTCCAGCTATCCATCCAAATTCAGTCTTCGTAAACACTGGAAAATTTGGTGCGAGACGAATTCGGTCATTCTGGACTAGGTCCCAAAAGATTTCAGCACCGATTAGCATATCGATGCGTCCTCGTTTGTTGAATACTGGATCGGCCAACTCGATTCCCTCAGGCATTGGCCAATTCGAGACATCGAAAGATTTCACCGGAACGTCACTGGTGATTCGTGGTGCTATCAAAAACTACAGCACGGGTGCAAATGCTCCATTACGAGATTTCACTGTGGTGCGAATCATGTTCCGAAGGCGAATATTGGAACCGTTTAATCCGCTAACCAAGTAATCAATGGGTTGCTTCTGCTGCGACAGCAGATTCGCAAAACGTTCAGTAACGAAATGTAGCTGTGAGGCCGAATCCAACAACACTCGGCAGGGATAATGTGCACTGCTGCCACCATTGACCATTACCACAGCGGTAGAAAGAAGCGTCTGTTTTGAAGGGATAGCTGCGTTGACACACAAGGTGGTAACAGATTCTAGTTGAACAGTATCTGGTTTCTTACTGGAGCTCGGTGCTGCTTTCGATTCATCGTTCACGTTTGTTGTCGATTCCACCGGTACGCGGTTCGGAACACTTTCACTGTGTAGCAATGTGTGATGACGTTTGCCACAATCGCGACAATTGTGCGATGAAGAGCACCCACTCGTACGATGCCCCCTTTGTAAGCAATTAAAGCAAGATCCCCACTTTTTCAAGGAACTGTATTTTTCACTCACATTCAGTTCTTTAAACTTGTCACACTTCCAGAGTTCGTGATTGTTCTTGCACATCACACACACATGTTTGTGTACATTCGTAGCCACTAGTGTGTGGCATTTGTTCACTGGTTTCACTTTTGCACTTTCCACTAACGGCTTCGTGTTGATGTCAATCTTCTCCATAATCCTGAACTGCTCTTGCAGAAACTCGATCGTCGCTTCGTAGTTCGAGTATACACCCTTCCCGAGCAAAGTCCAGCATCAAAATGACAGCAAATTGAAATCAAATTTTGATATCAACATCAAACTGAAATCCTAATTTGATATCAGATTATGCAATTGACAAATTTTGTTTTCATTTTGCTGTACATTTGCTCTTCAAAAATATGTTGTTGCGGGTTTGTTTTCATTGCCTTAGCATAACATCAAATTGAATACTTGTTTTGTTATCAACAGGAACAATTGATATCAAATTGAGTTTTTAGTTTGCTCTCACTGATAGCAGAAATAGTTTTCAATGTGATGTCACAGGAAGATTTTTTTGCTCTCAATTTTGATATTTTAACCGTTAAAACGACCAAAACGACAGCAACCTGAGCAATCATTATCAGCAAAATCACAACATCAAATTTAGATTTCAATTTGATCTCAGACTTTGCTCGGGTTTTTCTGCCGACCTTCCCAACCCGAGCAAAGTCGGTTAACAAAATGAAAGCAAATTGATATTAAAGATTGCAGTTCCTATCATAATGAATACTCATTTTGATTTCAATTGTCACGACATTAGTCTGATATCATATTGTGCTTTCATTATGCAGTCAAGACATTTTAAATGAAAGCAACTTAACTTGAAGTTCTGCTGTTAACGTCTTGTTTAAGATTTAAGTTAAGCTTATCTGTCGTTGAACTAACGATTATTGTTTAATTGTTTTGTGTTAATTTTAGGTCATTCGCAACCAACCCGAGGTGACATTTGAGCTCAAGTCTTTCAGCGTGAGAAGCTTGGATGCTAACCATTTACACCAGGCCCGTATTCAGTCAAACATTATGAATGCAAAATCAGTAATCAAATTGATTTCATTGAAAGCAGGATTAGTTTTCCGTTTGCTTCAACAGTGTAAAATTTTGCTCTCATTTTTGATGTGTTAACCGTTAAGTCAACCAAAATGAGATCAAATGGAGTATTCAAAGTAAGTTACATCATAACAGCAAATTCTGATTTCAATTTGATCTCTAACTTTGCTCGGGAAGCCACCCTAGTGCCCTTGTCCAACTTCGACGAGATCTGGTGAAGCAGCATTTGCTCTCCAAGCTGGTAGCACCAGATTCTTGAGTGCCTCCACATTCTTGGTGCAGGTATCAATCAACTTTCGCATATTAGTAGAATTTTCCTTGGTGACTTTCGAAAGATTATTCAGCGCCTCAATATGCTTGTCCATGATCAGACGTTTATCCTCGTATCTTTCAGTGAGAAACTTCCACGCGGCTGCGTAATCGTTATTATTCACGATATCTTGATCGATGATACTCGCCGCCGATCCCACGAGAGCATTTCGCAGGTGAAACAGCTTGATTGCTGGTTCCTCCTGCTGATATCGATTCATAATAGTAGTGAACATCGATTTGAACGAAAACCACTTCTCATAGGATCCATCGAAAGTTGGTAGAGGCGCTTGGAGAGGAGGCAAATAGGGCTGGGCTGGCATAACAATTGAAGAACCGACTACTGGCATCAACGGTTTTGCAGCATCGTTCGTTGCTGCCTCCAGTAGCATATTCAAGCGAATTACCAAATCGTTATGCAACGATTCGAAATCGATGTACCGATCTTCTTGCTCGGCTCTTCGTTCATCAGAGAGGGTTAGTGCGTAAATTTTGTTTTGCAAGTCATTGTACTCGCTATAGCAAGTTTCCACTGTCTTCAAGTGCAGTCGAAGGAAATGCACATTGCTAATGTTCGGGTTCGGCTCATCTTCATCGAGCACTAACGAATTCTTCACACGAGTGAGCATCCCTTTCACTGCCCCCGTCTGATGAACCAACACTTTGAACTGTTCTTCCATTTGGATAGCTTCTTCATACATACATACATACATACATACATACATACATACATACATACATACATACATACATACATACATACATACATACATACATACATACATACATACATACATACATACATACATACATACATACATACATACATACATACATACATACATACATACATACATACATACATACATACATACATACATACATACATACATACATACATACATACATACATACATACATACATACATACATACATACATACATACATACATACATACATACATACATACATACATACATACATACATACATACATACATACATACATACATACATACATACATACATACATACATACATACATACATACATACATACATACATACATACATACATACATACATACATACATACATACATACATACATACATACATACATACATACATACATACATACATACATACATACATACATACATACATACATACATACATACATACATACATACATACATACATACATACATACATACATACATACATACATACATACATACATACATACATACATACATACATACATACATACATACATACATACATACATACATACATACATACATACATACATACATACATACATACATACATACATACATACATACATACATACATACATACATACATACATACATACATACATACATACATACATACATACATACATACATACATACATACATACATACATACATACATACATACATACATACATACATACATACATACATACATACATACATACATACATACATACATACATACATACATACATACATACATACATACATACATACATACATACATACATACATACATACATACATACATACATACATACATACATACATACATACATACATACATACATACATACATACATACATACATACATACATACATACATACATACATACATACATACATACATACATACATACATACATACATACATACATACATACGACTTTCTTCGGACGCAGCTAACGAGCTGCTGAAGACTGGCCGAATCAAGGTTGGGTGGTCAGTGTGCCCGTTGAAAGCTATTCCTCGGGTATCTAAGAAAATGGAGAGATGCTACAAATGCATGGGCTTCGGTCACCAGGCGAGACACTGCAAAGGCCCTGACAGATCTGATCTGTGCAGGAAATGCGGAGAGAAGGGGCACGTTGCAAAAGACTGTACAAAGCAACCGAGGTGCATGCTCTGCAAAAAGGAGGACGGAAATGGCCATGTGACGGGAAGTTTCAGGTGCCCTGAGTTCAAGAAGGCGATGGTGGGCCAGCAATAATGAAGGTAACCCAAATAAATCTCAATCATTGTAACACAGCACAGCAACTGTTGTGGCAGTCAACAACGTAAACAAAGTGCGACGTTGCAATCATTGCAGAGCCATACCGAGTCCCTCTCGATAATGGTAACTGGGTGGCGGATAGAGCAGGAATGGCGGCCATACAAGTCATGGGCAGGTATCCCATACAACAAGTGGTGGCAAGCTCATATGAAGGTTTCGTGATCGCCAAAATCAATGGAATCTTTGTATGTAGTTGCTACGCACCCCCGAGATGGACAATTGAGCAGTTCCACCAGATGCTAGATGGGCTCACCGAAGAGCTCATTGGACGGAGACCAGTCGTCATCGCAGGAGACTTCAATGCTTGGGCAGTGGATTGGGGGAGCAGATGTACCAACGCAAGAGGGTATAGCCTGCTGGAAGCTCTGGCAAAGTTGAACGTCAGTCTGGCCAACGAAGGAACCATCAGCACCTTCCGCAAAGATGGTAGGGAATCCATTATCGACGTTACTTTCTGCAGTACGTCGCTAATGGCAAATATGAACTGGACAGTGTGCGAGGAGTACACCCATAGTGACCATCAGGCGATCCGGTACAGTATCGGCGAACGAACACCGGTGGAAATGCGGAGGACGAAAGTAAGCGAGCGGAAGTGGAAGACGAAGGCATTCAATAAGGATCTCTTCATCGAAGCTCTAAGGGTAGACAACAGCGTCCCGGGCCTAAGTGCGAACGAGTTGACCGAATTATTAGCAAGGGCATGTGACACAACTATGCCGAGAAAACTGGAGCCAACGAACAGGCGGCGTCCAGCCTACTGGTGGAACGAGGAAATTAGCACCCTCCGTGCTACTTGTCTTCTAGCCAGAAGGCGTGCTCAGAGAGCAAGAACAGAAGCAGACAGAGAGGAGCGCAGGGTGGTGTTCCGAGAGGCCAGGGCTGCACTGAAACGAAAGATAAAGCTGAGCAAGTCAAATAGTTTCAAGGAGTTGTGCCGCGATGCCGATGCCAACCCCTGGGGCAACGCATACCGAGTTGCGATGGCGAAGATCAGAGGCCCAACGATGCCGGTTGAAATGTGTCACAACAAGCTGAAAGTCATCGTGGAGGGACTTTTCCCACAGCATGACCCAACGAACTGGCCACCTACACCATATGGCGAGGTAGATGAAGACAACGTTGAACAAGTCTCCAACGAGGAACTCATAGCAGCAGCGAAAGGGTTGAAAGCGAATAAAGCTCCCGGCCCGGATGGAATTCCCAACGTGGCGTTGAAGGCGGCGATCCAGACGTTCCCGGACATGTTCAGGATGGTGCTGCAGAAATGTCTGGACGATGGTCAGTTCCCTGATAGGTGGAAGGTACAAAAGCTTGTGCTGTTGCAGAAGCCCGGAAAACCGCCGGGGGATCCTGCATCGTATAGGCCAATATGCTTGCTGGATACTGTAGGAAAGCTCTTAGAGAGGATCATCCTCAACAGGCTGACGAAATGCACGGAGAGTGAACACGGATTGTCGGAGAGACAGTTTGGATTCCGGAAAGGGAGATCGACGGTGGATGCAATTCGGACAGTGATTGACAGAGCCGAGAAAGCTTCCAAACAGAAGCGGAGAGGAAATCGATACTGCGCCGTGATTACGATCGATGTCAAGAATGCATTCAATAGCGCCAGCTGGGAGGCCATCGCCAAGGCGCTCCATAGAATGAGGGTTCCGGGCTACCTCTGCAGGATTCTAAGTAGTTATTTCCAGAACCGGGTCCTTGTCTACGTGACAGACACGGGGCAGAAATCGCTTAGAATCACGGCGGGGGTTCCCCAAGGCTCCATTCTAGGTCCTACGCTGTGGAACGGAATGTACAATGGCGTGCTGACGCTCAAGCTGCCCAAAGGAGTTGAGATCGTTGGCTTTGCGGACGATGTCGTCTTGACGGTAACCGGTGAGACGCTGGAAGAAGTGGAAATGTTGGCGGCTGAGGCGATAGATACGATTGGTAACTGGATGCAAGGAGCGAAGCTGCAGATAGCCCACCACAAAACAGAAGTGATGTTGGTCAGTAACTGCAAAGCAGTGCAGCGGGCAGAGATTACCGTTGGAGAGCACACCATTGCTTCGAAGCGCATGCTTAAGTATCTGGGAGTGATGATCGACGACCGGCTAAACTTTAATAGCCACATCGAATATGCTTGCGAGAAGGCGACGAAGGTCATCAACGCAATAGCCAGAATCATGCCGAACAATTCTGGTCCAAGCAGCAGCAAGAGACGTCTTCTGGCTAGTGTTTCCTCATCAATACTAAGGTACGGAGGTCCAGCCTGGATTGAAGCGCTGAAAACGAAGCAGAACCAAAGGAAATTGAGCAGTACGTTCCGGCTCATGGCCATGCGAGTCGTGAGTGCGTACAGAACCATTTCGATGGAGGCAGTATGCGTTATCGCCGGTATGATCCCAATCGGCATCACCTTGGCGGAGGACTACGAGTGCTATATGACGAGAGAAACCAGAGGAGTACGAAAAATGGTGAGAACGGAGTCGATGGCTAAGTGGCAGCAGGAGTGGGATGCAGCAGAGAACGGTAGATGGACACACAGGCTAATACCGACTCTTTCGACCTGGGTGAACAGGAAGCATGGAGAAGTCAACTTCCACTTGACGCAGTTCCTGTCTGGTCATGGCTGCTTCAGGAAGTACCTGCATCGGTTCGGACACACAACGTCACCCTTCTGTCCGGAGTGTGGGAATGTGGAAGAATCACCAGAGCACGTGGTCTTCGAATGTCCTAGATTTGATGATGTGCGAGAGGATATGCTCGCCCTTAGCACGGAGAATGTCGTCGAAGAAATGTGTCGAGAGGAGGGCACCTTTAACGCCGTCAGCAGAGCAGTAACGCAGATCATGTCAGCGCTGCAGCGAAAATGGCGGGAAGACCAATTAGAAAGTAGTAATGTGCTCACACAAGTGCGAACTGAAAGCCGAAGCCGGGAGAACTCTCCGTCAGAGTAGGCTGTATCCACCACCAGGGATAACCGAGTAGAACGTGACGCTGGGAGATAAATGGCTCACAAATTGGAGAGACGATCAGCGAACTGGAAGCGCCAATTAGCTGAGGTAAAGTGAGGTGCGTAATGCACGGCCCCCTCCGAAGTAATACGACAAGTGGTTCCGGGGGAAAAGGGCAAGGCGTCTAAGGAGGTTTTAGTGCGGTAAGAATCCCACACACCGTGTCACCGCGACTGTGCGCCCAGTCGTCAAGCGGTGGCACGATAGCCTTTTTGAAGGTTTCCTCCTTGCCAAAAAAAAAAAAAAAAAAAAAAAAAAAAAAAAAAACATACATACATACATACATACATACATACATACATACATACATACATACATACATACATACATACATACATACATACATACATACATACATACATACATACATACATACATACATACATACATACATACATACATACATACATACATACATACATACATACATACATAAGTAATAAAAGCTTGAATCTGAAAACCTATCAGCACTCCCAGCCGTAACTCTAGCTAATTCAAGGAGATGTGAGAATGATTAATTCCTTCATAGTTGTTTAACATGAGACCAACTTTACCTCTCTCCATCTCTCTAATTTCGATGGAAAGGATACTATTCTTTTCGATAGATCTATGAATTGGTTGTCGTGAGTGATACGATCTATGTTTATGATTTAAATTAATTAGGCGTAGAAAATAAATAAAAAAGTTTTGAGGTTGGGATTGAACTCGCGACCTTCTGCTTGGCAAGGGGAAATGGTAACCACTATGCTACCAATTTCATTTTGTTGTTAGCCTGAAACAGTGTTGTGGAATAATGAATGAATACGCCGTTTGTAAAGCATTTACAAAGCATGCAATTAAAACATGGACGCATAGTGGTATAGGGACTGTTCATAAACTACGTACACAGTTGGGGGGGGGGGGGGGTATGAGAATTATCCACGGCCCATGCAAATTTAAAAAAATTTGTATTGACAATTGTCTACGCAGGGGGAGGGGGGGGGGGGTCAAGAATCCCAAAAAAATGTCTGCGTAGTTTATGAACAGACCCATAAGAGCTATTATGCTGACTGTATGCACCTTTATTCAGCAATATTGTTACGCAATGCAATGGAATCTAATAATGGAGCTAGAAAACAATTATTAGACGTATAATAAAGCATGTTATTAAATCAATTTAAAACAATCGAATTAAAGCGTCACTGTATGTGCAAATTACACTTATTCAGTATGTTATTAGATCAAACTTCTGGTTCTGAATCAGGAAGACAGTCAACGTTTATAAAGCTTTTAATAAGTAAATTAATCATATCAGAGCAAACGGCAGAATAAAGGCGCATATATCGATCTCAACGAGCTTTTTTCAGCACATAATTCGACATCCTGTTTTATTCAGCATTGTACACTGTTATACAGCATTTATTCAATGTGTATTCTTATGTGTGACTGTGAATTGTTTGTTGGGTCCCTTCTTTATTGTAAATCCAAAGAATTAATTATTTCCTTTTCTTATATTATCAAAGAAGGGAATATTTCCTTTTTATCATATATTTAACGAGTTAATTATGTTCTCTTTCATATATTAAAAGAAGGGAATATTCCCTACTTTATCGTATCTCTAAAGAATTAATTATTTCCTTTTCTTATATTTTCAAAGAAAGGAAAACGCCATTAAGAAGTTTTTCTATTCTTTTTATATATGCGAAAGAAGATTCCAGGAGTCACTATAATAAACAAAAATAGTCAATCTAATACATGGCATACTTTTCTGGGGAATGGTTTTCTGGGGAATTGTTCATTCTGGGGAATGCTTTTCTGGAGAATGGTGCATTCTGGGGAATGGTTTTCTGGGGAATGTTATAGAACCAAAAAAACTAGTTGAAAATTTAAACTGTATGGAGCAAAAACAACGAAAAACATGTTGATATTTTCGATTTTTTTTTCTCTGTAGAATAGTTTACCTGTAACATGATTCCATGCAGTTCAGCTAATTCCTTCTCCAACACTGTATGAGGAAGTATGTTCATACCCTCGTCCAATAGTTTCTTGATTTCATCCAACGAAAGGCGATCAATTGTGTTTTCTCTCAGTAGACGAACTTGTTTGTACCACTTGAACTGCGCTAGACGATCTTTCAGTTGCACTATTTGTGGCAATTCGATGCACAGCGAATTTCCTTCGTCAATCAAGTGTGTGTGCTGCTGAATATTTGTATCCTTAAAACGGGTATTTAGGGCGCATTCCACCTGTTTTACCCATTCTTTTCCAATTTTCTGAAGCTCTCGAACACTGTCCCCTTCACGTATTATGCAGCGCAGATTGTTAATTTCGTTGACAAACATGTCCAGCTCTTCCAATGTAAGTTTGTACTTGGCACACTCTGCTGAATTACGGGTCCTCGTACGAATTTTATTGATATCCAACTGCTGAATAACCGTAATGCATTTTTGGGCCTCTAAAATAGAGAAGTTCAATCGTTCCAAAATTACGCTGTTTGGAAATTTTTGTGTTTCTGCTTCCTGAGCAATCTCCTGTAGCTCATCTAATGTGATGTTGGTGCTAACTGCTGGATCGAGTACGTCTCGTACTTTGAACAGCCACTTTTCGAATGATTCAGCTTTTACTTTAAGCTTCTGCACCATCAATGGAAGCTCGTCTAATGTGTAACGATACTTTAAGGTATGATTTTCCGATGGACATTCGCATAGTTCAGCAAAGTGGCGGAGACAAGCTAAATTAGTGGTGCACTTGCAAGTCACGGCTGATAGGAAGCAGGTTGTTTTGCATACTTCACATTGCCTTGCATCGTCCGATAGTAGCTCAAAGGCCTCACGTTCCGCATTAGTGACACCCTGAAAATAAAAAAAGATTAGTTTACAAATGGTTATACCTACACACTTCACATGCGCGAGTCTTTGACAGCTCAATAGCATTTGCTTGTAAACAAAGGTGCATCCTATATCTACACCCTAAAATATATCGGTGTACGGCAGTGTAGCACCGGTGTAGCTACACCGCAAAAACGAAAACGACAACAGTTTCTGTTCTAACTGTCATTCAAACGCCCCACGATTGCTGCGATGGGTAAAAAAGCTACGAAGAGAGAACGACGACGAACAGCAGCGAAGTTTTACTTTTAGCATTCTACTGCAGAAGAGAGTTGTCATTTAGACGGAAGAGAATAAAGTAGTAGATAGTAGCACTGAGTTTTAGTTGGTTCCGTTCCCAAGATCCGAAGTGTCACAGGCCGATGACATAGTAACGCGTTTTGCGATGCGTGCGCGTGCGCGTGTGCGTGTGCGTCTGAGCTGCTTTGATGAACGTCCATGCAAAATGCTTGGTGAAACGCTTGCACATGTCATAGTATACGCGTTGCGATGCGTCAGCAATAGCGTCAAAGCACTCCTTGAAGTGTTTTCACGCGCGTGCACGCAAAAGACTGTTGTAGTGCCATCGAATTTAAATGGTGATCGACTAGGAAACTGCGATTACGCATAAATAGCATCGGTAGATCGAATGTTTTAAATATAGCCGTTGTTGTTCTGTTTAATGTTACATGTTAAATGGTATACAAACTGTTAATAAGAAATTGTTATATTTATAATGTTAAATGGTAATCGTTAAATGTTAATTGCTATAAGTTAAATGCTACATAATAAATTCTAGATTTCAAATGTAAAATTAAAAATGCTTAATGTTAATTGCTAAATGATGAATTCTAAATGCTGAATGATAAATGTTACATGTCAAATGTTTATTGTTTAATGTTAAATATGTATTGTTAAATGTAAAATGTAAAATTTTAAATATTATTTGTTAATTGTTAAATGCTTAATGTTGAATACTCAATGCTAAAGGTTAAATGCTAAATGCCAAATGCTAATAAAATACGTTAGATTTTAAATGTGAATTATCAATGTTAAATGTTAAATGCTAAATGTTAAATGTTAATTGTTAAATTTTACACGTAACACTTTAAATGATTAATTTTCAATGTGAAATGCTAAATGTTAAATTTGAAATTTGAAATCCTAAATTTTTAAATGTTAAATGATAAATGTTAAGTGTTAAATATTAAATTGGTTATTTTTAAATCAATGTTAAATGTGCAATGCCAAATTTAAGATGGTGATTGTAAAAATGTTAGATGTTAATTGTTAAATGTTAAATGTGCATGCCAAAGTTTATTTGCTAATGTTAAATGTTTAATGTTAGACGTTAAATGCTGAATGTGTGTGTCAAATGCTAAATGCTGAATATTAAATGTAAATTGTTAATTGTTACATGTTAAATGTAAATTGTTAATTGTTACATGTTACATGTTCATATGTCATCTTGTTAATATCAATTTTGAGTAGCCCTAGTTTCGACGGAATTTGAGTAGATCGAAACTAGAGCTACTCAAAATTGAGTGTTAAAAGTTGGTACTAACAAGAAGACAAATGAACATGTAACATGTAACAATTAACAATCTACATTTAACATGTATCATTGAAGATTAAGCATTTAGCATTTGACATGCACATTCAGCATTTAACATCTTACATTAAACATTTAACATCTCTACTAAATCTCCTTTACTGAAAATTGGGTAGCTTAGAATAAGCGTGAAGACCAGTTATTTTAACTGACAACAATGCGAGCTGCGCTTTCAAAAACGCGTTGAGTATGTCATAGCACGCATCACTCGACGCTTTATTGAAATTCAGCAAACGCGAACAACACGCGTTGCTCGACGCTCCGCGTTACTATGTCATCGGCCACAGTGGGTGACCGTCGTGTTCCGCCGTTTCCGATTGTACAGTGTGTGGAACTGTATTGCCTTTATGTCCGTTTGGTCACAGAGTCACAGTGTGTTTCTGCAGTGCAATCTTGTCGAAGAAATTACAGTCCCGCCAATGAACCTCGTTTTTCCGTTACAGTCCCGAACAAAATTTGGTCCTACGAACCGAATAGCAGTGGACCTTTCCCAAAAGCGGCCCTATCCAGCTTTGTGCTACGTGTAAAAGAGGGTTCCGCCTTCCCAACGTAAAAAAGTGCATTTCCGGTGAACGCGTTCGTAAACGTGTTGAATCTTGCTCAGCCAACAAGTATCCATAAGTGTCTGAAACATTTCACAAACTTTGTAACCTGTCTGATGCCGTTCGACAACTACTACGTCGTGAATAAAGCTTCATCGAAAGCTCCGAACGTTTCGAAGAGTGTCGCCCGGGCGCGTGTATGTGAAACAAAACTTTTGTCAGTTTCTTCTATCTGTCAAGTTGACAAAAATATTCGTTTATCGATCAGTTTCGCGGTACGTCGCGTTATCGCGTAGTGATAAAAACAAAATGGATCAGGAAACCTTCAAGGACACAAGCGAACTGGATCATCAGACTCCAAAGCAAAGGGGTCCGTGCAAGTGTCAAGGCCTCTGTTTTTGACATCGCCGTCGACGAGCAAATCATTCCATGGATATAGTTACTGGGAGCTTAATGGGGATCCAGAAACCATAAAGCAGTTGAAAGCAGTTTTCCGGCAGCGCAACCAAATCTATCAAAAGGTGGTGAAGATGGAAAAAGTATTTTCGGATCGTAAAATAATGAGTTTGGCGCAGCTCAACGTCATATCTCGGAATCTGACAGCAGCGTACACGGAGTTCAGTACGTTCCATAGCCAGGTGTTATCGTTAATTCCGGATGAAGACCTCAATTAACAGGAGGATGAATACGCGATGTTTGAAGAATTGTACAATTTCGTCTCCGAAGTTGTCGAGGAGCTTATTTTGGAAGCCAAAGGGGCAGCTGTCACTATTCCCACCAAAAAGCAAATCATCATCCAACAACAGCCATTAAAAGCGCCAATTCCTACCTTTGACGGTAGTTATGCTGCATGGCCAAAGTTCAAAGCCATATTCAATGACCTAATGTCCAAGTCTGGAGATAGTGACGCCTTGAAACTTTATCACTTGGACAAGGCGCTGATTGGGTCTGCTACTGGAATGTTGGATGCAAGAACAATCAACGCAGGAAATTACAATCAAGCATGGCGAATTCTGACCGATCGGTATGAAAACGAAAGAGTGATCGTCGAGTCCCATATCCGAGGATTGTTTTCTCTGAAACGAATGACGTCAGAGTCTTCTAAAGATCTTCGTGCGTTAGTTGATGAAGCTACGCGGCATGTAGAAAACCTTCGCTTTCTGAAGCAAGAACTTTTGGGTGTATCCGAGTACATGGTTGTCTTCCTTATTTCCAACGCCCTTGACAAATCCACCCGTAAAGTTTGGGAATCAACATTGAAAAAAGGAGAGTTGCCGAAATACGAACCGACCGTCCAGTTTTTGAAGACTAGATGTCAGATATTGGAGAATTGCGAAACAGCGATACAACCACCGTCATCGCAACCGACCAAGCCTGCTTTTGCGTCGAGCAAACCTCAAGTTCAGAAGTGCTACACGAACGCAACGACCCTCATCAAGCCACAAATGGCCAACGCCGATCGTTGTGTATTTTGCGGTAATCAGCACAAAAACTTCCAGTGTGATGTCCTAGGCAGTCTTCCAGTAGCGGAGAGACTTGAAAAAATTCGTACAGCAGGTGTGTGTTTCAACTGCCTAAGGAAAGGGCATCAGTCGAAAGAGTGTCCATCGTCGAAGACCTGTAAGAAGTGTCAGAAGCACCACCACACGTTGCTACATGGAGACAAGGAAGGAAGCATGAAACAGGATGCAAAAACGAACGTGTCGATCCCGCAAAAAGCCGAAGAACCTTCAACGTCAGCCTAAGAACCGGTATCAGTGGAAAATTCGACGGTTTCAATATCTTGCTCTTGCAATTATTCCCAACCAACGAAGACTGCTCTTTTGCTCACTGCGGTAGTACACTTGGCGGACTCAGCGAACCAGCTTCATCCGTGTCGAGTATTACTCGATAGTGGCTCCCAAGTCAATTTTATTTCAGAAAAGATGGCTAATTTGCTTGGCCTACCGAAACAACCGGCAAACGTCCAAATAACCGGAATTAGTGCAATCCGAACGCTTGCACGCGAGAAGATCAACGTACAACTTCACTCTCGATATAATGCGTTTCATGCTAGGATGGAGTGCCTACCCGAAAAAAAAATTACAGTGAAATTTTCAGTGGAAACAATGCTCTAACATTAATATTTATTGTCGACAGTAAAAATCATTGTTATAATGTTGTACCCTTCCGAAAACGGCAAAACTGTTACCTAGCTGTACAATGAATGTACATAATAAAATGTTGTTACAATGATTTTTATTGTATTTTTCATTTATTTTATTGTTAACATGATTCGATCACGAACAATAATGAACAATTCTATTACAATAAAAAATGCTGTTACATTAAATATTGGTGTGTTTTCATTGTGGGTTACTTCACGAACAATAAAAATAAATCTGATTGAAGCATGCAGACTATGAGAGGGTCAGCAACACTGCCAATGTAATCAAGATAGGTGCTGCTCGTATGGCTCTATTCGTTGCCAAGTCAATTGAACGCCTACGACCAGATCGGTTTGAGTTGAACTCAACTCTCCTGCCTCATTTAAATCCCGCTTAATGCAGACCTTTTCCGTGCAGTCACTAATCATACAATCAGTGCTAACATTTGAAAACGGCGCAAAAGCCATTTGTAAACAAATGGTTTGTGGGCCCTTACTCGCTACCCGAAGAACGCCCACGCAAACCAACAGCATCGTCAGGAAGGGGAAAATTTCCCTTACCCGATGTTGCTGTTGTGTCGCGTGGGTGTACTTCAAGTAGTGAGTAAAGGGCCCACAAACCATTTGTTTACAAATGGCTTTTGTGCCGTTTTCAAATGTTAGCACTGCAATAATAATAAAAAAA